AAGATTTTAACGAGTAGTAACATCGAGGTATGAGGTATTTATTAGGTATTTATCATAGTTGCAGTTCAGAAGAGCAAAATGACAATGTGAAACATTGTGGTTGATTGGCGAATTATGGCACTGTACATCGCGGTTAAGATATATCAAGGACTTAGTGTGAGTCCTGTTGTTAGACAAGATGCATGGGATAATACCAGGTATTGAGCAATGAGTGTTCAGGAATCCTCTGGATGAACGGCATGTGTACCATGGACTACAAGTAATTTCAAGCATCTGACAGTGCTCATATGTTACAGAATCAAGACACAGATAGCAGTTTAAAGCCCTGAGTTGGGATGGTGAGTATCCAATCTCCATTTTAGTTTTATCACCAAAAATGATGCAGAATAGGTGCAGAAAGTGAGCAACTGCCCAAGGCATATTTACGCTGACAGATATGATACGAACCACCAGCGTACCACGTTAGCCAGACCCCACTATCACATTACCAATAATTAGCTCACCAAGAGGAAGGCAACCCATCCAAACAGTAAGCAGTAAACAATCAGCACAACTGATTAAAGAGCGTTAACTCACTCACCATCCGTGTCAAAAGTGGTGTACAGAATGGGGAGAGAGCTTGCAGCAGGCTGACAGCCATTGTCACGTAATTGAACATAGGAAGGATCTAATTGCAGATAAGAACTTTAGTAAAGATAGGCAGGCAGACAAATCCAAATCATGAAACAAAAGCGTGGTCTGAAACAGGCATTAAACAGGCAAGGCAAAAGCACGTAATGATAAACAAGAAGACTATGAAATCAAAGACTATGAAACAAATTGAGGATCAGGGTACAATCTCTTGGTACAGTGATAACACTCAATACTTTGCGTCATACATAGATACACGAGGGGTTTAAATACTAAACATAATCAGCGGTGAAACATAAACAGCTGAGACTAATGATGATACAAATGGGAAACAACCAATGACAGAACAAGGGCGGAGACAGGACAAACCATAAGAAAACACAAGTGTCAAAAGTAAACAAACTCAGTGTAGAAGAGCACACTTCCTCTTGTGTGCTCCAACCCTAGTGTGAGGGGAAATCGTGACAGCCATCAAACAGTGAGAAAAAACACAAAAGTATCCAAAAGAGTCAAATACTAAGATTTTATGAAATGAAAAATCAATGAGAATCTTAGAAATTGTCTTTCACCTATGAATGAAGATCTCTAATATAAAAGCCAACTGCTCTCAAAAGTCATTCATGAAACATGCCATCATTTGAGTTCATCCAATACCTTAGTAACAGTTTTCTCAGTTGCTTCCTGAATAGGATTGAATAAGAAATTCTTAGCTAGGAGTTTTCAGTGCAAAGGCGCACGGTGGCTTAGTAGTTAGCACGTTTGCCTCACACCTCCACACTGTCCTGTGTGTGTGGAGTTTGCATGTTCTCCCTGTGCTGTAGGGGTTTACTCCAGGTACTCCGGTTTCCTCCCCCAGTCCAAAGACATGCATGGTAGGTGGATTGGCATGTCCAGAGTGTATGTAGTGTATGAATGGGTTTGTGAATGTGTGTGCATGGAAGGAGGCTCCCCTGGCGTACCTTAGGCAACATTCAGTATCATACTGCTGAACGGTTTATCCTCCACGACAATGGTTCCACGATGAAGTGGAACCTTGACACGAAAAGAAGAAGTGCAAGTTGGGAGATAAATAAGGACTCCTTGTTGAACATCCCATTCCATACTTTGTCCCTCCTTTGCTGCTATAATAACCTCCATTCTTCTCAGGACACTTTATGCTATATTTTGAAATCTGATTGTGGGGATGTGTGCTCTTTCAACCACAACAGCATTAGTGAGGTAAGGCACTGATGTCGAATGAGGAGGACTGAGGTGCAGATAGACTTCATTCCAAAGGTGTTCAAAAGGGCTTGAATTCAGGACTTTGGGAGCTCAATTTTTGCACCCAGGGACATTAGTTCCTCTTAGTTCCAGTGAAGGGAAATTGTAATGCAATAGTATACAAAGACATCCTATACAATAATGTCCTTCCAACTTTGTGGTAACAGTTTGGGGAAGAACCATATTTCTTGTGATGGTCAGATGTTCACAAACTGTTGGCTATATAGTGTATGAAATGCAAAAAAAAAAAAAATACACTACAAACAATGGAATACATATAAAGTATTGTGTATTGTATTTTTTAGATTTCCCGCATGTCTCCTATTTTCCATGTTTCCTAGTCATTATTGTCCTCATTTGGACTACCTGTTTTGCGTCTGTATTATTGATTTGCCTGCTATAATGAGGTCCACTTGTGACCCTTACTATGGATTTTGTCGCTGATGCTTAGATAATCCCTCTTTAAAGAGATGATGGAAATGTTTTTTTTTTCTCTATTGCCTCAGGCTTTCATGTGTTACAAAAACACATTCATTACTTCACCTTGCACTGTAATCATAACACTACTGGTAGCATGTTGTGAGATAATTAACTGAATATTGTTTGAACAGATTTGAAATGCTTCCTTAATTCCTTATGGTTCAAGGCTAATCAGAAATTATAGCTAAAACCTACAGAGGGGTTTAAGGGTATAATTTTCAGTCAGCTATTGGTGGAAATAAAATGTGGGAAGCCAGCTTAGTGGCATAGCAGCTGGCATGACCTACATTCAGTGGTTAAATATTATGGCTCATCACAAGAACGCTCTCCTGTTAAATTTCCAATTTCCTGAAATGGTATAAAAAGAGAAAATTGGTGATTGTGACTCAGCAAGTATATGAGAATTGCTAGCATTACTTATATTATATTATATTATATTATATTATATTATATTATATTATATTATATTATATTATATTATATTATATTATATTATATTATATTATATTATATTATATTATCATTCCATTAGATTTAAAAAGAATGTTCAATTACTATTTTTGTAACTCTACTCTCATCCTTAGCATCCATAATAAACATTATTTCTTAAAGCAATTGTGTTTTATATCACTAGCTTTGAGCACTCCTTTCCAGACGTCCAGAAAACATGGATTTAATGTGTCCATCTGGGAAATAGGAACATGTGTGTGTGTGTGTGTGTGTGTGGGTGTGTGTGTATGTGTGGTTACAACCTTCAGCTATCCTCAAACAGCACGCAACGCAGCTGCAGCAATCAAGATAATTTGAAGATGCAATTGCTTGAAATAATGAAGCGATTAAAAAGAAAATGCCACTCATAAAAAGCAGTAATCTTTCATGCCATCTTTCATCTTTTATTATGGCAAAACAGAGATTTCATGTGATTAAGGACTTGAAATGTTTATTGTCATTTCCCTGAAAGGTGGGAAGCCCATTTGTTCCTTCAGAAATTCCTTCCATAATTTCAAGCTTTCAAGGAGAAGTTGCATTTGCAATAATGACATGTGTGGCATAATGAATTTTAATGGCCCACAATGTGCTAAAGTTATGAGACATGCTTTCAAAATAAATGACAGGGGTTTTTTTTTGGGTGTCAGGGTGTCCTTACATGTCAGTGAGCCAAGCAGTAGTACTCTTCAATAAACCATCCTAAAATCAAATACATGATATGGATTACTCAGTATAAAGACACAGTAGTTTACATGATAAGATTTTTAGGTTAGAAATAACATTTTAATTACTACAGTCCATGAAAATGGCAGAAACATTTTGGTAAAAACGTACACCACTAAATTACAATAATCGGAAAAAGACAAGCAATGGCTACCAATGTCTCCAATAGCCATCATGGGTGAACATTTTGTCTCCTATGTTCCTTTTATTTTAAAGGCAGATATATTACTTCACATCTAAATGTGATTCCCCGTGAAGCAGCATGCTTTAAGCGCGGGTGCGCATGCGCATGCTTCTTCTATGTAGACAGGAGTGACATTCCGACACGTGTATAACCACGTGTCTTTTGTTATTGTTGATGTCATGTCTCCGCCCTGTCTTGTCATGTGCTGTCTAGTCACGTGTGTTTGCGTATTGCCCGCAGCTGTTAGCAGTTGTGGGGGTAATGATGCCGGTGTATATATACCGTGAGCCATGCTACACACGGCGCGGATTATTAGAGTTATATAGTTAGAGTTAGAATAGAGATAGTAACGTAGCTTAGCTTATAGATTAGATGTTTGTTTCCATAGTCATTGTTCATGGCATGATTCTTGGTTCATGTTTATAGTCATAGACATAGTCCATGGCATAGTTAGTGTTTAGATTCGCTAGTTTAGTTCGCTGGGTTATCCACTCCCAGTTCCAAGTCATAGTCTAAGTTTCATGTTTGTTTATCCACCCTGTTTTCCGTACCACGACCTTGATCTCTGCCTGGCCCTGTATATGCCTGTATGCTGTTCGCCTGATCTTCGCCTGTTTTTGGATCACGTGTATGGATCATGTTTTGGATTTGCTCCAAAACATGCTCTCCTCTCTACAAATCAAACTCTCGTTCTAAACTGTGATTGCATCCGTCCTATCTTCATCATGTCACACTGCGTGACAACATGGTGGAAGCTGACATGTGAGTCTTCTCAACCCCTGGATAGACCTGTTGTGATGCAAGTCAGTATTGCAACACACCATTTAGACAGCTAAGTGCATATACATTTTCACATTGAACTGGACCTTCAACAGTAATAGTCAAGCAATGTCAAAAGCTTATCTTGGGAAGTGTGTAGTAGCAGAGGCAATAAGCGAGCCACCTTGAAAAATATGCTTTCTTCTTTTCCAGGTCAAACACCAGTCAAATAGCACATAAAATTAGAAGAAGAAAAAAATCACTGAAGGCATATATATATATATATATATATATATATATATATATATATATATATATATATATATATTTTTTTTTTAATCATGCACTGTGAATCAGCAGAAAAAATAAACAGTCTCATTGCTCAAGGCTGCTTATTGCATAGTGTTCACACTTGATGTAGCTGTTTCGGCCCTATAATGTGTACAATAGGGAAGTGGCAGTTTTTGTAGTGAATGGAAGTGTATCCGAAGTGGTTAAGAGGTTGGACTTCTGATCGCAAGGTTGTGAGTTCAAATCCCAGTACTACCAAGCTGTCACGATTGGGCCCTTGAGCAAGGCCCTTAGCTCTTTACTGCTCAGTTGTACAAGTGAGAAAATTGTAAGTTGCTCTGGATAAGGATGTCACCCAAATGCTGTAATGTAAATTACAATATAAAAAAAGAAGTTTGATGTTTTCCTACTGGTGCTTAGCGAACATCATAAAAAAAAGGTAACTGGTGCAAGTTGACTGTATTATGGTGGCTAGGTAGTCTATGTGTTATGATGTATCTTAAATGTTTCAGACCAAAAGTAAAACATCTGTGTATGTGTAATTGTCCTGGAGGTTCCATCGGTAAATCGGACATTTAGCGGTCGGGTTAGCGGGTTTGTTGAGTTTGTATCAATTATATAAAGCTTATGCACTTAGCTGCTTGCTTATCTCATGCATGTGTACAGTAAATGTTACAATGGAACAACTCTATATACTGGCTGAAGACATCTGTTTTCACATTTAGTTTGCTAGTTCTATTATGACTGCTGAACTTCTCGCTGCACTTGCCTTCCCATGAGCAAGCCCATTTTAATTTCATACAAAAATACAAATTACTTACAAACTGTAACTAAGCACAGTTTGGTTTAACACATGCTATATTATTGTATGCTTTGGTTTTGTCACTGGAAGCCATCATCCCAACTGTTTTCCCTCGTGTTATGTCAGGACCCGTGGGATGCTTGTAGCATAAATTGTCAGGCCTCTCTAGTGTAGGCAGAACTTAATTAAATTCCAGGGAAATGTGTTAAGAGCATCACCACATTTCATCACTTTGCTATAGTTCATCCAAGCTCCTGTAACTCAAAACTTCAGTGTCTCAATGAAGGGCTTAAGATTGCGATTATTTACACACATTTACTAGAATGTGCTAATTGCAAAACCAAGCAAAAGGCAGGCAATAATTTTCTTGAAACAAAGAAATAAATAAATTCCGTACAGTTGCTTGCACAGTGCTGTTGAATTTTCAAATCTGAATGGCCAGAATGTGTTGATTAATTTGTCGAGAGTGAAACAAAACTCAATATTTGTATGAATGCACTTGTTATAAACCAGTCTAGGTTGGGCTGCACAGAGTAACCAGCTCGGGATTCAATTGGATTGATCTTTAAATAAGGGAATAACAACGCAAGCAAGGTTATTTGAAAAAGGTTGTGGTATATTGTAACAGACAATATATACATATAATTGCACAAATTAACCAAACCAGGCATATCTTCAGGGTGGGCCAAGGCCAAAATAATAAACAAAAGTATTCTATGATTAGGTAGCTAGCTTACCTAAAAGAAAAATACAAGGATTCTTTGCGAACTACCTAAGCAAAAAAACAGAGACAAAAGAAACCCTCTCCCAAAAGAAATGGCAGACACACCCCTACTGCCGGTGAACCAAATGAACATATATATACAAAAGTGAAGAGAATACAGATAAACAGATTTAGGGATAACCAAACTCAAAGTCAAAAACCACTCAAAAAACAAATGCCAAAACAGAAGTCATAAAATTGCATGCAACCAAACACAATCGCCAAACACAATCGCCAAACACAATCGCCAAACACAATCTCCAAACACAATCGCCAGACACATGAAACCACCTCCAACATCCCACACATTCTCACTCTGTCTTCCTCTTTAAATATGGCCACCAATCTGTGAGGTCATCCTGGTAGGCGGGAGCAAGGCAGGCCATGGCAGGCTGGAAAGTCCGAGTTCGGACCTGCACACAAAAACTTCCCGTCCCAAGATAGCGGGTTGTAACACACTCTTTCTAATATGTTGCCATTTCTATAGTGTCACAAAATCTAAGCCAAATAATAAATAAATGTAAAAATATTTGTAAGTTTAGCAGTAACAAAAACGTTCACACAAAGGAAGGTCTCGAAGAAAGAGGACATTGCATTTTCCTGTTTTTTGTTTTTTCTCAGTAACATAAGCAGCATTTATTTATTTATTTATTTTTTGTTCTTATAATCTTTTTTTGTATTATAACTAAAGAGTGGCTGATGGAATGAATGTTTAACCAGTATAACCAGTGTTGGGTAAGTTACTCAAAAAAAGTAATCCACTACAGATTACTAATTACTACTTTAAAATTGTAATCAGATTACTAATTACTTTACTTTCAGGTTACTTTCAAAACTTATCAAACCTACAAAAATACAATACAAAGTGAAACTCCGTTCTTTCAGTAATTCTTGCGCACGTTAATGTATGAAATGAAACAAGTTGGATTTATAATAAAACTTGACTCAGGTTTTGTCACTGTTTGTAGGACTACCAGATTGATAAAATACAGAACTTTTCCAACTAGGCTAGTTTGGTGTCTCTAGCCAAGGGGACGCATGACTAAGCTATCACTGTATGGGTTTAGCAGACACAGTGCCCTGCAGAGTACATTATCTTTCCTTATGCTCGGCTCATATCATGTTCACATAAACTGGAACTCGAATAGACATTTACACACCTTGTTTTCCTGCTCAGCATCAGATGATGTTACTGTTTCAGTTCCAACCAATTTACTGGTTAAAAATAATAATAAAGCTGCATATTTCCATATTTCCTCACACTGACACTCCATTGCAAGGGTCAAATCACATGCAGATGCAGATAAATATGGAAAATCCATACTTGTTGTCAAAGCAGGTGAGAGTTGAAACCTAGAATAAACGGGGAAAGATGAAAACAATACTTGGAAATATTTGTTAGAATAAAGGCCGAATTTACTTGGAGAAACAAACAAAAAATTACAGAAACAGGCATCAATCATGCTGGGATACACACAAGCTCAGAACACAGGAAATTTCTGACTCGTCTCTGTTTGTTTGCTGTATTGTTTCTGGAATAGTGACTGAGAAATTTTAATGAAGGCACTTGAACTCCTGTTGGTGCGTAAAACATCCACATTAGAACCATTTGCCCCAGGGTTGACAATCATGCTTTTCTAGCCAGCCTAATCAACCTCTGCCTGATTCTGGGAAAAAAAACCCCACTCATTAATAAATAAAATGCATTCATTATAAAATCCCTACTGTGCTGAACATTCAGTGACCACAATTCATTCGAAATTGGAAAATAAAAACCTACGAAAAAAAAAAATTACAATAGTAAAATAAAATGCTTGTGCTGCCCTTGCGGGAAACATTCTCAATCATTTTTTGTAAATTGAGCTTACCTGGAATTCACTCCATTCTGAATAAGATGGAATTAGAGGATAAATGCACTCACTGTGAATAGTAATCATTTAGTATTGGGCATTCGATTGTAGAGTTTGTAATACCATCACAGTCTACATGAACTGTAATTAAAGTGCACAATCAAAATATTAGGAGATATTTTGCTTTGAAAGTGTTAATGCTCTATCAACTATTACAGCAGGTGCCTCTAAAATGGTTGATTGAAATGAATTTTGATCCTATTCACAAATATACTTACATTACAGCACCTCTGGTGTAGTGGAGAGGGGGGTTGTCAGACAAATTGTTGCTTTTCATTTATTTTTATTCTTTTAGAGGTATACAGTTTTACAGGCATTACAGTAGATACGTTGGCAGCAGTCTATATAGTGATACGTTCAACCTTCGCCATTTTCTCAAATGGTGACGGGATATGTGACGGAGTATCCATGCTTTGACTCTGTATCCTACTGAATTATACTGATACTGGAGAAATTATTATGAGTTACATTTTCAGTTGAATTTGGGGAAACCACTTGAAGCATTCATTCATTCATTCATTGTGTTGAACTAATTCAATTGCTTTTGTTTGATTTGTTCATTGCAAACAGCTGAAAGTCTGTCAATTTTGACAATAGATCTGATTTGCAATGGGGGTTGAATCATTTTAACTGCAATTGTATTTGTTTATTAGTTTGTTTGGCGTGTTTTTATCAATTATAGTACATAGTACCTTACTGCTTCCAGCACAGTGGTGACTGACTCTCAGCAGACCATCAGCGACCTTGACTGAATGAACCAGCAGTAATAGTTGATGCCACTTGTCAGCAAAGTCCTCCCTCTCACAGAAAAAGTGTCAGGTTTTTCTTTTCATCAGAGGATTATAAATGGACCAAAATGGTCTCTGTCATTTTTTGCTCCAAATCTGTGAAATGCTGCCAATGCCGTTGATGCAGCACAAGCAAAAATAAATAAATAAATAAATTGATAAATACAAATAAAAAACAGAGCAGGGAGCATTAAGCTTTCCTCTGCCCCACAGTGTGCTTCCATTTCTAGAGATTCAGCTGCCTTTTTCAGAATAAATAAACTGAGAAACGAAATCTATGCAATTATCAGTAACAGAGAAAAAACATTATTGGCCCAGACTAGACATGTAAACTCTCAGAAGCACAAACGTGTTTTTCATCGCACATTGTATTCATTATACCTAGGAAGGAAGTACCTAAAATATATAATGAATTATCATACATAGGTTTTCTAGACACTCTCCCAGGAAAGCACATTTTATCTAAAGGCAGCTAAAGGACTAACGAAATAAAGAGCAAGAAATGACAATTACAAGAACACACTTGATCAAGTGAAAAAGAATACTTATTTATAAGTGAAGAAGACTAACATCGGGTTGCATGCTGGTGCAGCAAGTCGCATCCCTGTCTCGATCTCTGGTTGATGTCTGTGAATGTGTGTATGTGGTGTCCTATGACAGACTGGCATCCCATCCAGGGTATATTATTGTCTCATGTACAGCAAAAAAAATGATAAATAATTTGGACTCAAATAAACACTCGGGGTGTTAATTCAACACTTGGGATTTTACTGTGTACTTAGTGTTCCTAGAATAGGCTCCAGATCTGGTGTGAACCTGACCTGAATAAAGCACTTACTAATGATGAAAGAGTGAATGACTGGATGAATAAATAAATGAGCTCAACATTTGACCTCTGAAACTGATCCAGAATGCAGCTTCGTGACTTGTTTTCAATCTTCCTACAGTAACTTCTCAAACACCGCCCCATTGATATGCCCCCTCCACTGGCTTCC